CACAAGAAGGACATGGAAGTGTTGGAGCGGGTCCAGAGGAGGGCCACAAAAATGATCCGGGGGCTGGAGCACCTCTCCTATGAGGACAGGCTGAGGGAGTTGGGCTTGTTCAGCCTGGAGAAGAGAAGGCTGCGGGGAGACCTGATTACGGCCTTTCAATACCTAAAGGGGGCCTATAGGAAAGATGGGGAAAATCTTTTTAGTAGGGCCAGCTGTGACAGGACAAGGGGTAATGGTTTTAAACTAAAACAAGGTAGGTTTAGACTAGATATAGGGAATAAATTCTTTACAATGAGGGTGGTGAAACACTGGAGCGGGTTGCCCAGAGAGGCAGTGGAGGCCCCATCCCTGGAAACATTCAAGACCAGGTTGGATGGGGCTCTGAGCAACCTGATTGAGTTGAAGATGTCCCTGCTCAATGCAGGGGGGTTGGACTAGATGACCTCTAAAGGTCCCTTCCAAGCCAAAACATTCTATGATTCTATGATTCTATGATTTAGAGTCTGTGAGAATGGCAAGTCTGACCCATGATTCTGGAGTTGCATACTTGGCCTCATAAATTTAGGTAGCAGATTACCAAAGAGACATGTGGGTAAATGCTTTCTGTTTTTATTAATAATCTCTGTGGGTTTAGATACTCTACAGGAGGTTACGATATGGTTAAGCAATAGAAAAGGTGAATTGTGTTCAATGAGAAGAATCCACACGGGTAGTTACTGTGGTTTGTGAATGGATAAACCAAGTCTATTCATCTTCCAGTTTCCTAAGGAAATGTTGCTCCTGTTCACAGTCCACTTTGTAAGCACACTGCCAACTGAATATAGCTGGGATGGTTGGTAAGGCATAAATAAGGGCAGATGTGCTGCAACTAACAGTGTCCGCTTTGGTATCTCCCAGACTTAGCTTAAAACAGGTAACTAATTACTTTATCAATTAATTCCATACCTTGGAAGTCCCAGCCACATGACCCAGGATGGTGACCAACTGGCATCGTATTCATTTTCACTGATGGTACTCAACTGTTCTTCGTTAGCCTGGGGCTGTTCTTCTACAATCTGGACTTCCAGGGCTTTCAGGGAGACTACCGAAGAGGCGGCGCTCGCTTTCAGCATGGCCACCGCCTCGCTGTGACTGAGGTTAGTCAAATCGATGCCGTTGATATTCAGCAGCACGTCTCCTGTTCAAAGGCGCAAGTGAGAACACATCGGTCTGTCAGAGTCGTTCCTACTGACAGCACCTCTCTCACCAGGGTTTCATTTAACACCGTATTTTTTGGAGCTGAGACAGTCTGAACTAACAGCCTGGGAATGCGAATAGCTCTGAAGCCTTACACTGCCAGTTTGAAACGTTAATGTATTGAACTATTACGCTGGATCAGTATCATTTATTTCCACATAAAACATCAAATGCTGTGGCTTCAATCCTGTATCACCCTGAAAATTTGGGACAAAAATTACCTAAGCACCTCCACCTCAACTGCCACTGCAGATGCCACTAGACAGTTGTTTCCAGTGGTGTATCTTAGGTCCACCCTAACTTTAAAAGAGAAGGAAGAATGATGGAAGGAACTATACAAGCACCACAAAGTACCCAAGTCTTGTAGGCAAGTGAGGCTCCATAGGGTGTTTTAGGTCTTCTGCTTTTTCTAACTTGTTACTTGGGAGAACAAAACGGAATTCAAAAACTACTGGAAAGGTTGGTACAAACCTCAGTCCATTAGAAGAAAGAAAGAACATCTCTACAAAGATAATATGGAAAGAGTTGAAGCCACTAAAAAAATTGCCAGAATTTTTATTTTATTTCAGAGTATTTTTTAAAGGCTTCAGGGTGAAAACAAGAATGTTATTTACTGTCCAAGCAGTGACAGTCTCCTCTTTCACACAATGTCTCACTTGGCGATGAAAAGCCAGAAAAAACAAAGCAAAAGTGTGAACACCTGGTTCACATTTGGAATGAAACTCACTTTTTCCTTCCAGGGAAACCTTACGCTGAGGTGCAGCTTCACTTGAAATCACTTCTGTTGCTGCTGTGGCTACTTTAATGTTACACGATGAAAGAGCAATTGCAATTCTTCCATCAAAGTGTTTTTTTCATAGTAGTACAGAAAAAGAAAGCATACACGTTGGTATGTGGGTGTAAATCTCCCTCTCTCAGAAGCGTATAAGGATGCTCCTACGCTGTTCTTTTTAAATTTGCAATCTGTGAAGGTTTTTTTTCCTAAATTTCTTCCCTAAAAAAATCTGTAATTCTGTGAATTCTGAATCACACAGATCCCAGAAGCAGTTTTTTTTTCACATAACGGCACAATATGTTTTAATCATCAAATGCTTCACTATCGATCAGGCAGGACTGCCTTCACCTACACAGTCTAACCTCCACCTCTGGGTTCCCACCTGCAAAGCTGAGGAACAAGGACGGGTGCTGTAGCACCCCTGGAGATCAGCAAGCCCAAGCTGTCCCAGAGGATAAGAAAGCATTGAGGAACGAGGGTCATCACTGACGTAGCTTTGGGGGTAAACTTAGCTGTGAGCTGTGGCCTGCCATCAGAGCTCCTCTGCTGTTCAGCTATTACACTGAGGAGCAGAGATTCCTCGGACAGAGATGGGGCCCAGCCCACCAAATGAAACACAAAAACAGGATGCGTGCACCACAGCACAAAGCATCGCACCAGACCCTCAGCTCAGGGGATTACCGTCAGCTTTAAAGAATTTAACCAGACATTTCCTGGTCTTATCCGCTTCCCCTGCTATCGTTCTCTAAACATCCCTTTCCTAGAAAAGGTGGAAGTGTGATACTAAATACTGCATTTCCATTATTGAAACATGAAGAAAAGCATCCATCAGCACTTTCCTACATCTGTGAAAAGACTTTTCGACACCACCTGACTCCAGAGAATGTACTCATCAAACAGCAATCAGAGGCCACCCGTGCCACCAGGAAAGCAAAGCCCCACCTCGTTTAATCCTGCCGTCTCTTGCCAAACACCCGTGAGGCTGCACGCTTGTCACGAAGATGGGCAGTTCGCCACTTTTGCTGCCTCTGCCTCCTGCCACTGTCATTCCCAGAGATTCATGTGGCTCTTTTTTCACAGTAATGTGCTTTTCTTGGCATGTAACACACTGGGAGAGGTCCTGTTTGACAAGGATAAATAACATTGTTAAAACTTAAAAAAAAAAAAACAGAACAAAACACAACTAAATACACCCCAAAGCTATACTTTGGCACCTTAACAGAATGGTTTAAAAGGACTAAGTAGTACAAATCGGCTTTGGCTGGATTTCTTCCAGGTCAGAAAAAAAAAAAATTAAAAAAGCCACTCGTTGTGGATACTTAAATATAGACAGAAAGTTTATAAAGGCCCATCTTGAAAATCTCACTCCGGTTTTTCTTAGTATCCTACACTGGAATAAGCTAAATTTTAGGACTGCACTACAAAACCATATGGTCAAAAGAGTGGACACAAACCAGAAAAAAACCCTTTTGTTGTCTTGGTGAACATCAGCATTACCTCACTTGTCAGTAGAATATGGCCCAGAACTACAAAGAAGCGCCTAAGAAATGAGAACACATGTGTTTTCATGCTGACACAGAGAAACTGTGTAAAGCCCCCATACGTCATGTTGTCTTGCAGCTGGTCCGTAGAATCTCCCGGAGCACAAAGTAACTAAGGCCAGTCAGTGCTATAGGCTGGTACCGGGCGCCTTGTGCAGGCTCCCTAATGATTACAACAAAGACTCAAACCTGAAGCAAGAAGAGATCGCTGTATTTCGTTTTCTAACACCTGAATCATAAAGTTTAGCCCGTATTTAGTTTTGCCCCATCAAAGATCTAAACCTGAATCAAAGTATATTTTACTTGCTGAAGCCCTTTATCTTCATGATATTTAGCGATACATTCAAACCACTGCACGTATGCCTATACTAGTATCTTAAATCAAGCGAGTATTTGCAAGGAATCCAAATTAACAGAAGAAATAATCTGGGAGATTCTTCCAACTACAAATACCTATTTATTCCCCTGCCTTCTTTTGGAAAATGGCAACACTGCTTTCTTCCATTTCCAATGCCCCATGCTCCTTCTGACTCACTCTGCTCCTCACATATACACGTTAATCACATATGCAGCTATATGTATACATACTGTAGCTTATAAAGACAGCTCCTTCTTAAGCCTTCAAGCTTTAGGACTAACTGGCTGATGCCATGCAATTATATAAATATTTTTTAAGCCACAAGACTTCTAAGCTAACTGCAGGTTAATGAGAGAGAGGCAAAGATAAATGGTATGCAACACGGGAAATGTCCACTTGCAGTTACATGGGACTTCCCACTGGGAAAGAACCCATGGGTGGCATTGATACATGAGGGAAATCATTTTGGCCAACAGACCAACTTTGGAACTGTGATATGAACGCAACCCATGCTGGCAGATGGGAAGTGGGTTCAAGCTCTGATATAGAAGAGCTGTAATCCCTGTGTTGATACAGCCTAAATTGTGACAAGTACTAACAGCCTCTAACTGTATTCAGGAGCCCCACCTTTATCCCTCAGGAGGGAAAAAAGCTTCCTAGAGCTTCACTTGGTCTTTTCTGAAATTACCCACACTTTTAGAAGAAAATACTATCAACACATGTAAATTGTCCCAACAGAAGTATGACCTTAAACAGTGATGCCAACAGAGTGAACAGGAGGCAACAAGGTGGCTTGGTTGACATGGTCGACATGACAACTATTTCACAAAATCAACTTCTCAACAGTGAGAAATATTTTTTCTAACTACAAGAACATCTCAAGCACAGGTTTTATTTCTGCAGGTCTTCTGGATAATTTAACACTAGCTTCATGGAAGTCTCTTCAGGCTGCCTTTCTCTCCCAGCTTGGTCTTACAGAGCTCAGCAGTCTTGCAGCCAGCACTGCTGGCTCATGAAGGAGATGACACATCCCTCCAACATGCTCTTTATACACTGGATGGTGTGCACCACATCTCCTGTCCTTGCTGGTTGCAGCCAGCACAGAGGCAACAAAAGACAACATTCTTGAATAACAGCTCTCCCATGCAGCAGTAACATGGGAGACACCATCTTAGACAAGGTCTAACAACTACAGCTGTATGAGCTCAGAGAACTTGTACTTGGAAGTCGTCTCTTTTTTAAAAAAAAAAGGAACGAAGAAGATATAACCCCTTCTTCCAATCTTGCCTTGCTACCCACTTAGACCATCAGAATAAAACTGTACTTATACCTCTTAAAAAGAGAAACACCAACCTTATGTGAGTTGGGTCTGCTGTGAAACAGCTGCTGGGACTGGTGTTGGTGTGAGTTGCTGTTGTGAGTCCCTGTGTCTCGGATAATACTGACCGTCTGTGACTTCAGGGGTCTAGAGATGATCAAATTCACTCTCTCCCCACTCGCCTGCAAAATATATAAAACAAAGTAATTAAGTTGATAGGATATTTATTATTAGCAGACAGGGAGGAAAACGTATGATAAAATATGAAACAAGACAACAGAAGAACTCCCTGGGAGTGCCACAAACTTCTTAGACTGCACAAGTCCCGTAATTGCTTCTTGCTGCAATTCCCCCCAGAACGGAGTCTGTATCAGCTGGAAATCCTTTGCCAAAAGGACTGTTTCTCATTTTTTGTTATGAACCTTCAAACATTAAAAGTCACCCAATTCCATTTGCAGCCTCTGCAAACTTCTGCAACACAAAGCAGTAAAAAAAGAAATGCCCACGTGATGGCCCCAGGGTCTGCAGATTTTGGTCAAAAGCTCTGAACACCTCTGGTACTTCCCAACGAGACTTCCAAGAAAGATGGTACATATGAGCAAATCATCAAATTCTGGAGTTTGGGGCATATCAGGAAACTCAGATACCAGATGTTAAATGAAACATCAACTCTTTCCATTGCCGCAAAAATATACCTCAACAGATAAAAGTTACCCAGTGTAAAATTCTGACCACTTTACTGTATCCAAAAACTGGGAAAATGAAATTACAATTCCCAAGATCATTGTTATTTTCCTTTAACTGCCATGGAAGCTCTTAAAATGATATCAGAAAAAAAATATTTACTGCTCATTTGTATTGCAGCTCTCTATGTGGTGCTGGGTTAAGCAAAGACGACTGCGCTAGGCTGCAAGAACCTACTACTGGTCTGTTCCAACTTTCCTAAAAACAGAGCAATTTTCACCAACATCCAGTC